AAACATGTTCACTGAAGGGGTTGATGGAAATGACTGTTAGAGATATAGTCTGGCCGCATGACCAGCATTAATGGTGGTTTGAATAAAATAAGATTATGATCGAGCGATAAAATGCAAATAATGGGTAACCATAAAAAAAACTACATATGTATAGAAAATAAGGAAATGCGTGAATAAGGTTAAAGATATAGAGAGTTTGTTAGCTTATACTCTCTCTCAGTGTATGCTTTTTTAATTCCTGATGAAATTATTTGTCTAGGTTGTATTTTCAAGAAAAATCACTTAATGCCATTTAGTTCACTCGCATATACTGAGGGTTTTTCTTTGTAATTCACAGAGGCTCTTCCAATTCTTCCAACTCATGACCAACAGCCTGGTGAGCTTTTTTAATATGTTATCCAACTAACCCTCCTAACGATAATTTAATGGAAAGTTGAATTTAACCGTTACCGTTGACTGTGCTTTTTTCTTTTGTTTGTTTGTTGGTTCGCAGCTTCGTAACTTGGCGCGCAAGTTGTTTACTTCGGACCACATCTTGGTAACTTGCAATGGCAACATAATGACTTGTAACTTGCATTGATTGATTGAACAAATTCTCCTTCCCAGCACATCGGGAAATGTATGGAGAATAGTATGGAGAATATGCATACTGATATTAGGGTGTAATGGGTTGAAGACATCAGGTAATCAGTTTTGTATATGTAGAGTATTGCTTGAATATTATAATTGTGGTGAGTGCAAGTGCCTGGTAAACATTGGTCTATGGTCTTCTATTCTTCCACCTTGGAGGGTGCCTTGTGTACATAAAAATTGAAAGACATCTCTACAGTGGTAGGTACACACAACTGACATGTTTGAGTGAAGCATGTCAAGCATTAAGGTATGATTGTCAGTTTGATTTTCATTTCTTGCAAACAGCTTATTTCTACCAGCTTCGAAAACTTCTGTATCCCTGCTTTCAAAGAAAAGCATTTCCAATGAATATTTAAACATTAAAGACATAAGCTACCAGCAACAGGTTTTTCCATTATTCCATAACATCAGATTCTTATCAAATTTTTTTTTCTTATCAATTTTTTTTTTACATTTGAAAGCATAAGAAATTTGTAATCATTGTTTTAGTCCCACTAGTGACTTAGACAGAATTTCTCCTTACACTATCAGTACAATCAGTACAATATCAAGCAGACGAGTAATGAGAATTTTAAAAAAAATATCAATTAGAGGATAATTGGTTGATCCAATTCCAAATTCTCCACACAAACATCACAGGAATTGTATGGCAGACAGTAAAGAGAATTACTAATAAAATCTCGATAGTTAAATGGTTATGTAATCATATGTACCAGAAAGACAGCAAATAAGTGTAACATACTCCAGTAAAGTTTTCTTATGTACAATGAAGTTTCAAACTCACTGAAATTAAGTTGACTTCATGATTCAGATTTTAGTGTAAGAAATGTGTAATATCTCTTAACGTGGATGAAAAGAGAATGCCATTTATGAATTTTAAAATAGTAAATGCAAAAAAACTTAAGGATGAAATTTAAAGAGACTGATGAAATATGGCATATCTATTCACTGAGATATTAATCACTGGCTGGTACACAGAGATATAAAAGAGGCTTTGTGAAAAAGACTAGGGCAATAAAATTAAAGGTTCAGGAGGAGCTTATGACATCAACTAGTTTACTGATGTTCTCACCTGAATTCAGTCTGTAAAGAGAACTCTG